ATAATTACACGATCAAACGAACTCACCTGTGAAGTTCGATCGTAATTATATGAGACATCCAATCCGAAGACATTTATAGAATACTAAGTAGTTCGCCTCGCTCGAACTCCAGCCACGAGTTTAAAAGTACTTATATAATTTAAAAAGAAAAACTTTTTACCCCCAATTACCCTAAACGGTCTCCGCCACTGTCGTGATGTCAGTCCCCGTTAGGAATGAGTATCTAACCTCATTTAGTTCAAAGATAAATCAACTGGTAAACCCTTCGAAAATGTGCTGGAAAACGACAGGAGTGGGGGGGTGGGTTTGAATGTCTTCGGATTGGATGTCTCATATAATTACGATCGAACTTCACAGGTGAGTTCGTTTGATCGTGTAATTATAATTCGACATCCAATCCGAAGACATTTATAGAATACTAAGTAGATGTTTAGAGACAGTGGTTTTCCACATGAACCCAGATAAAAAACAAATAACAGTCGAAGGGTACTATCACTATCATATAATTCAAAAAAGAAAACTAAAAGCTATGGTGAAACAATAATCTTAAATGAAATATCCACATAATGTCAACATCTGACTGACATAAGTGTTATTCTCTATAATAGAAGATGTATTATATATACATTATAATGATAATATGGCTTTTGATAGTGTGCCAACCTGAGAAATAGGTCTGTTATAAAACTGACAGAAGGTTTTCGAGTTTGTTGACCACCCCGCTGTTTGCCGAATTACTTCTAATGGTACACCTAAATCAAAGGCTTTAGATGTCGAAGCATGGCGAGTGGAGTGAGCCTTAAAGATTCTCGTATCTATACCTGCTTCTTCCAACGTATCCTTCACCCATCTACTAAGGGACTGCTTGCTTGCAGTGCGGTACGGTTTCTTATAGGTTAAAAATAGGAAGTCTCTAACTGACGTGCGCCTTCCCTTGGTAGCAGTCAAATATTGTTTTAGAGCTGTAGCGACACTAAGCTTTGGGTTTTCTGTAAAGTATGGAAGGTGTAGACACGGTTGGGTTCTACCTATCCCTGATGTCTTGATCTTATCTTCAATCAAAATTTGAAATCCGTTTCCCGATTCTATAATATTCTCTATTCGAATTAACGAAAAAGTTTGTATTCGGTGAGCAGTTGTAAGTGCTAAAAGAGTTATTAGCTTCTCGGACAATGCTTTTAACGAATCCATTGCGAGCCGCTCCAAGTACGCTAAAACTACTTGTGGGTCCCACACTACATTGTATCTGGGTCTTGACGGTCGAAGTTTTGCTATACCCTTTAAAAATCTGCATAAGACTGGATGAATCGACAAATCTGTTGACGTGATCAGCGATAGTGCTGAGCGATGAGAATTAAATGTTCCGTAGGCATTTTCTTCCGTATCAAAAAGATGTTGTAAAAAACTCATCACTAAAGATGGTGTGCCCTCATACGGATTCACCCCCCTATCTGCACAGAAAGGTAACCAGCGTTTGTACGTTGCTCCATATTGTTTGACAGTTGCTTCGGACAGTGACTTAAGGATAGTTTCCACAACGTTATTCGGTAAGGACATCAACTTGAACGCCTCCCTGATAGTCTGGCTGCCAACAAAGAGAGCTTGTCCGCCAACGGGTGAGGTGATGGACTGTGAGGTAAAAACAACAAGTCATTAGTAGGCTTCAAATAAATAGGGTCTTGTACTAATAAATTCGAAAAAATTGGGAACCAAGGTTGATTTTCCCAATTTGGAACAATAAGAATGCCCTCGGCCTTATCATTAATTATTTTTTGTATTACTCTTAAAATTAGAGCAAAGGTGGGGAACGCATAGAAGTAAGAACCCTCCCAAGACCTCGTAAAAGCATCAATGTAAAGAGCCTGTGGGTCTTGAAACCAAGACACATAAACGTCACATTTATGATTATCTTTGGAAGCGAAGAGATCAATGTCAGGGACTCCCAGTCTTCGTGTCACAAGATCAAACGCCTCTGCTGACAGGCACCACTCTGTGTCTGACGGTAAGCTTCTTGATTCCAGATCAGCTTCCCAGTTTTCTTTAGAGCTTATATAGGAAGCCAACAGCCACAGGTCCTTTCCCTCACACCACTTCCAAAGTTTCTTTGCTAAAGCAGACAAGGCTGGGTGTTGCACACTACCCATTCTATTGACATAAGATACTGCAGTAGTATTATCACACCTTAGTAAAATGTTACTGTGAGAGATGGAACCCGCAAAATGTTTGACCCCAAAAAAGATTGCCAAGAGTTCCAAAAAATTAATGTGAAATAATTTTTCCTCAGCAGTCCACCACCCTCGAATCTTGTTATTCCCACAACAAGCCCCCCAACCTGTCAGTGAAGCGTCTGTAAAAATTTCTAACTCAAACTGATCTTTAATAATATCATTATAAGCTAAGTCGATTGACTTTAACCACCATTCAAAATCTGGTTTAAGCTCTAAAGGGAGAGTAACTGAAGCAGAGTAACACAAGTTATTTTTAACCAGAGCTAAAAACTTATGTCGCTCAAAAAGTTTGGTGTACATCCACCCATACTTAACTCCCTGGCAAACTGAAATCAAGTAGCCTATGTACTGAGCTAGATCACGTATTTTGCAACGTCGTTTATTTAAGAAATACCTAGTTCGCCTTTTTATAAGCTCTTTTTTCTCTGCAGGTACTGAAATTCTAAGCTGTTTAGAATCAAGGATGAAACCTAGAAACCTAACGTAATTGTTAGGGGTTAAATGACTCTTTTCAAAGTTGATTGTAAAACCGAGGGACTGCAAGAATTCTACTGTAAAAATGGTGGACTTCTGACAACCTTCCAATGTAGAATCCACAATTAGCAGGTCGTCTAAGTAACATACACATGTGATATTCCTGGTTCGCAACCAATGAGTTACTGGTTTCATCAACTTAGTAAAGACATAAGGCGCTGATGACAAACCAAAGGGTAAACACGTAAACTGGTTCAAGACATTGTCATACTCAAACCTTAAAAACTTTCTATGATCTGGGTGGATATTTACGTGGAAATAAGCATCTTTCAGGTCAATTAAAGTAAAGAAACAATCCTTTTTAATGAGTCTCAATGCAGTGCGAATGTCTTCCATTTTAAAATGAGGCACTTCTAAATACGTATTTAAATACTTAAGATTTAAAATAAAACGTTTTTGTCCATTTGGTTTGTCTACTAAAAAAATATTAGAGATGTATTGACCCTGGCAAGGCGAGCATTTAGATATTGCTCCTTGGTTCAACAACTTGTTGATTTCATATGAGAATGCCTTCCTTTCTGCTAAAGAGAGAGCTTTAATTTTAGGGAAAGTAAATTGTACAGGTGAAGAAGAAAAGGGGAGGCTGTAACCCTTAATCCATTGAAGAATGACCAGGTTATCAGTTATCTGACACCACCTATTGGCAAAAATAGCCAATCTACCAGCTAATGGGCTTACCTGCTGAAGGTTCTCTAGCGCCTGTACTTTCCCTGTCTCTGGGACGGGTGGCCTCGAGATGGTTTCGCTTGTCCCCTGGGACGAACCGGGCCGTAACGGTTTAAAGACCGAGATTCTGCTCTAGAGATACCACGAGTGGTAGTGGAAGTCTTTCTGAATGTAGTGCCTCTCCCCTTCCCAAAAGGCTGTGATAAGCTGGAAGTGGGTGCAAGCTTAAGATCTTTCCCCGCCAGCTGCAGATTTTTTGCTTCCTTAATGCTCTCAGACAGATCAGTTCCAAAAAGGAATTCATTTGGCACTGACTTTGCCAAAATATCCTTAACATTTTTATTTAACGTTGGCAAAATTAACTTGCGCCTACAGTCCGTAATAGAGTGTAAAATATTTACCAGAACTCTACTAGAATCCCCCAACGGAGATAAGAGCTGATTCCGAAATTCTCTCGAAACATCTGTAGAGTTAAGGAGCAGTGTCATGGACTTGCCCATTGCACAGAGAGCTGTGGCTATTTCAGAATGAATTTCGGCATTAAACGAATCCCGAGCCAACCTATCATTAAGAAGAATGGCTGCAATCTCTGGGTTCAACTTGGGCGGGAGAAGATGCACACAGTTATCAGGGTTGGAATATTGCTTCTTGAGGACTTCAACACTGTCCTTTGCCAGACCATTGGCAATAATATGGTTCCAACGTCTGGGCTGTGACTGCGATTTCGGATAGATCCTCTAAAGAGAGGTCGTCTTGTAAAACCAGAACACTTCCATCATCCCGAATATCGTC